GTCATGCCTGAATGGGATTTGAGTCTCCATTGGCCATGGCTCTTTGAGGCTCAAACTGTGTGGAAAATAGCCCAGTACAGGGTACTCACTGCATCTGACTTCATGGCCAGTAGCTGTTAGCAACTGAAGTCTGGCTTTGGGAAGGTTGTTAGCTGCTGGAGGACAAATCACTGCAGCCTCGCAGCCTTTCTTAGGTATGCTTTTCAACTTTTATATGTATTTACAGGTTGTTTATCCAACAGGTATTTATTGTGAAGTGTCATGTCTAGATTAAGGTCAACTTCTGCAGACAGTGCCTCTTCTTAACATGTACATAGAAGCTGCCTTTATTTATTAAGCCTGATGCCATTAATTTCACCCTTGAATGTCATTCAGTGGTTTCCATTCATGCTTTTTAAAACATTTCATTACTGGCCAACTCAGGGACCCAATAAGTAAGCAATGGGCTTGAACATATGGGAAAAAATGACCCTTGCTGCCATGGCATAAGCCATTTCCTATAACAGTTGTCAAGCTAATTTTCAGTAAATTACTTAGTCTATGTGTTTATTATTCAGATATAAACCCACTGACTCAGCATGAAAATGAAATTACACCACTGTAATCACAGACTAATCTTTTACAACTATAGTCACTACACCCCCAAACCGCATCCCTCTAACAAGACTTCTCTGAGTTCAGAAACAGCGGCTTTTGAACAAGTTAATTACACTGCATTGCACCATCCGGTGCACATTAATGGGCACTGTTGCTGCACGCCTCCATGTAACTCCATAAAAATCAGAATATTCTTTAGCAAATAATGACTTAATGGGAAAGAATGCACTTAAAACATAGAATGAAATTCAATACAAAAGAAAATCACTATCATCTTCATTGTAAATGTTTTCCATACCAAAAGATAACATGCTTTTGGAGCTCTTGGTGACAAAACTCCCCTTCTCTCCACCCAGTGCATGACAGCTGGTCTACTACTTAAAGTATTTGGCATAAAGGACATAGTAGTGCCTATAGTTAAATAGTTTTCTCTATCTGATCATTTCTAGCTTATGTTTAGATTTTAAGTGGTTTTAGAAGATGAAGGTGTTAAAAAGTGGGAACAATTTAGTAATCTCTGAAGGTCAACACCTGCTAAGAAATTTTAAATTCAAGCTGATTTTCCATTAGCCCCACGTCTCATGTTGTGATTAAGTTGTAGATTGATTCCTTGTATCATGGCATTGCACACAGTGCTCTTGAGGGCATCTGAGCTGAATATACACTAGTCTAAGATACCACTTCACCATCCCTGGTTTCTACCAGTGAGAAAGCACTTTCTTGGCCAGTTTTATAACAGAGGTGCCCTACGCAGCTATTTCTGGTTTTGTTGAGGAAAGCAAAGTGAGCAGTGGAGAAAGTAAAAGACATCACTCTGATTTGTTGTTGTTGGTTTTTACCATTAAAAAATATAACATTAATATTAATCAGGCAAAAAGTACATCATGCAGGTTTCACTTTTTATTATTTTACAGAAACCATGCTCAACTGATGTTATAACTGAAGAAGAAACAGCAAGTCAACTCATAGGACCACGAGCGTATGTTTGTTGTCAACAGAAAGACTCTCAAGGACTTCAACTAGTATTAGATTGCGGTCTTCATATTTACATTTAAAAGTATTCCCCTCTGTGTCCTTATACAAATTATTAGCCTATTCAAATTCAATAAAAGATAAGTGTAAGATGAAAAAGTATGCATTAAGTATCTGACAGACAGTGATTAAAGAAAGGCAATTTTGAGAGCTGTCACTCTGGCACTTCTCTCTGGCTGTTCATCAAGGGGACAGTCCCTCCCAGTGCCTGGTCATTTTGTATCTGATCACTTGGTGTGTCAAGAAGAACCAGAAATCTGCTCCTCTGCTTTCAAATGATTGTATAAGACAAAGATACAAAAAAGAAAGGATCTTTCAGTATACAGTACTGCTGTAAAAAAAAAACCCACAACCCAAAAACCTGTTGTTGATGTCTAAAAATTTATATATTCACCTGTTGCTCTCCCACTATCTTCCTGAATTTTCTAATTCACAAGAGCAACTTGAAGTAACTAATGATGAAATGCTTTACCTGGATAAAATACCTTGTTGCAGTAAATGGCATTTTCCTCTGTCTTTAGAACGTGGAGCCTTTATTCCACAAATCAGTCAAATAGCTGCTGTTTTCCAGTAATTCAGACTAGTCATAAAAGTGTATTTAATTATTGTATAATCAGTGGTATAAGATAAATAGGTTCTACTCAGTTGCCTTTCCATGAAATCAGACTTTTCTGACATTTTAAAATGTCTACGGTAGACTAGGAGAAACCTATGCAACTGGTCTAAAGCGGAAAAAGCTAGACAAATGCATGAGTAGTGGCACAACCACCTTGATCCACAACATCCTTGTGAAACACAGGAAAGAAATATTAACCCCAGACTACATGCAAAGCCAGATAGTAGATCCCTAGTTTAAACCATTGTTCCTGCAGACCTCTTTTATGCTTAAAAGTTCTTGCCTTAAAATACAAAAAGTGTTATAAATTAGGCAATCATTCAATATTTCATATATCCATCCATTTATATGATTTAGGATATCAGTATTGTACAATAGCCCATATCCCCAAAAAGATCTCAAACAGATTAATGAATGTTAGAAGCCGAAACAATTTGTATTGTGGTCACAATAAAGACTCAGTACAAAAAATATCTTTATAATACTTAATTCCATGCAAGATAAATTTATTTTTACCTCTTTGCAGCTGTACTTCTTATTCTTTAAAAGGAAAAAATAGGCAATATAGAACAATAAGTATTTTCAATTTTTTAAAAAAGTTAACAAGACGGGCAACTAGAACATGGGTGTGCATCATATTGACTAATAAAAATGGTTATCAGCTGACAAGGTTTTGACTGGTGATGTGAAGTTCAAAACTGCATGACTTAACTCTCTAGTTCTGAACTCTGAGATACAAAATACCCTTCAAAGAAACATAGCAAGGAACAAGAAAACCTTTCAAACCCCTCACCAGAAGACTGAGAGCTCTGGGAGAGCTCAGAGATGTGAAGTTATGAAAAAATGCTGAAGATCTGTTTATCAGTTCAAACTGCTGCAAAGTACCATCCTGCTCTGGAGAGTGACAATAAAAAAATGAAAATCAAAAATAAGAAATGGCAGGTACTTTGCCATTAAGGGTTCATAGGTGTCATCAGGCAGCAGCTTCACTTTGGGAACACAAACAAACCATGGGACTTGGAGGGGAGCAGTGTCTGTTAAACAGCTCAGCATGCACCATAAAACGTCATGCACACCATACCTGCTCCACCCGCTTGAACGTGTGGAGAGCAAAGCTGTGAATCTGTCTTCTCCTGTGTTTTTCATTAAATGGTTTTAGACACTGGGGAGCAATAAAGAGCTGTCTTTAAGTTGTCCTATGTACAGGGACTGCCACTATTCCTGGTTTTATCTGAGCTACAAGAAGTCTTCTTTTGGTGTCCCTCCCATATAAAGGGCAGGAATAAGTTCTTAATGATTGCTACCTTGCTCAGTTCAGGCAGTTTCTGCCTTCATTTACATTCTCTACAACTTTGCCGATACTCATGCTAACACACAAAATGGATGCGAGAGCCTAATGTAATATTACTTACTACAAGCTAATGTGGACTCCAGGCACTCAATAAGCACCTTGAAAACTATTCTGAAATTAAAACTTAAGAATTCCCTGACTAGAGTTTTTTTAACTTGTCAGCTTTCAAACCTTTGTATCTGAAAGCCGTACTAGGTTCCTCCTCACTCAGGCACAGGAAGCAGTCAAAACAGGCACATTGTTCCCAATCTTGTAATTTGCACATGTGGTACAGAGAGAAGAAACTGATCTTTGATCTAAACTTAGTTAAACACTTTTCTCATTGATGTGTGAGCTTCTTCTTTCCTACAGTTCATTCACTGGCTAAGAAGGCAAAATGTTTTCCAGTCATTATCAACTTTCACAGCACTGTTAACAAGGCTCAATACAGGAAAACATGCATTTCAGTGACCGAAGGCGATAGATATGAGTGCAAATGTACATTGGCATCAGATTTATTAAGGAAGGAAGCATTTTATCAGTTTTCAAAGTAAAACCACATTCTGAGCTTTAAATTGGCATAGAAGAGCCAGTTTTGACAGAGTTATAGGGCCCTCCAGAAATGTTAAATATTTGCAATGAAAGCTTCTCTCCCAACTCCTTTCATTCAAAACCACAAGACGTTCTGTGCTCACTTCCATAGGGATTTACAGGACTACAGCAAGGAAAACTTGCTGTGAATAGTAATGGTTGCAAAAGAAGCCTCCAGTCCACAGCCTTCTTTATGCTGGAATGGTGGTGGTGACGCTCTACAACTCAGTCCAAATTTTGGAAGAAAAGGAGGGAGTCATGGAAGTGACAAACAGAGTATGGTTTTTATATTTTGTAGCGATCCTGAGAAATTGGTTCTTATCATTCAGTCAACATTCACAGGATAAAATCTGCTGTGTGCATACCTTGAGTCCTATCTCCCTACTTTGGGGAAGAAGGTTTTACTTTCTTCAAGTTGAACAAAAGCATAGATCTTTTCTTCAGACACTGCTATAAAGAAGACAACAGCTCAGCACGGAAGTGTTAAAGATATTGTCTTCATGGCTTAAAAATTTCAGGAACAAGTAATCTCAATTGCTTTTAGTGTGGAACCTGGAATCCTATTTACTATGTGGAATTAGTAAGGTCTTCAGAAGCAACCTCTAACAGCTAAACATTATTGTCATGTGAAAAGAGGGTTTTTAAGCTCTGGACCCTTATTACCTACACTGTTCTCCTAGTCCTCTCCATGGATCAACTGATCTCCATAGCACTATCACACTGGAAAACTGAAGTTATTGAAAAGAGAATCAGAACCCAGAGGTAAAACCCTCAAACCTATAATTTGTCCAAAACATAATCAATTAGTTAATCAGAAGTCTTAAAAAAACTTACCTTTAAAATTTGGTCTGATTCTAGCATCATACCCCGATGTCCTTCCCATCAATTTGTCCAAAAAATCTGAAGGAGACAGGGTCTGTGAGGGGGATTTTCCAGATCTTGAATCATGTTCTTTACAGAAAGTCGTCCTAAATAAATTATTAGCCACCATTAGCTAATATTTAGCTTGTATTGTATTCAAGTCATGGAGAAATTATAGCTTTAAATAAAATTGTCTCAATTCAGTGAATGTAACAATATTTTTATAGAAATAGTCTATTTTTCGTCTGAAAACTTCATTCTAGAAATAAAAATGAGCTTAAGGTAGTATGCATGGACACAATTTGTTATTCAGGAAAAAACTTCAGCTTTAAAAAGAAATTTATTACAGCTTTAAGACTTTAGAAGATTCAATTTACTCTTCATCTTAATGTGTAGAGCAATCTTACAGGGACTTTGATATCCTATTTCATATCATTGCTTTAATTACATGTATGCTGTTAAAACTATATGTTAACACTGGTTTAAGGTGGTCTTAAACTTTCAAACAAGAGCTGACAACACTCACCAAGCAACACTGAAAAATATTGGTTTTGTTAGTGTTGGGAAGGATATAGATGCAAAAAAAAAAAATGTTTTTTACAGATGCTACCCACCAAAGATTTAAATCATGCTAGTGAAAGTCTGGATTCTTCCCCAACATGACAAAAAGGATTCCAGAGTCAGTCACATCTGATCTTAGGGGTTTTTTGCCAATTAACATCGAGTAATAAAATCTATCAGTATTACCACCAGCTGGTATTTATATGCAAGCTCTTGGAACACACCTCTGTTTTCAAGATTTAAGAGCAAACTTCTGGTACCATATCATGCATGCGAAACACTGTGTACATAGCATATTACACACTGCAAGCACATTAAATATTGCAGAGAAAGAGAATTTAGGAGTTCCCCATGGTTGTTCCCTAGGGAAAAAGAAACTAGAATGAAATGGTCGTGTTTGGTGTGTAGAGGCACAGATTTCATCATAAAGGATTATCTTGATTCTTAAATAACCAATTTCATTGTATCTATGTTTCAACATAATCCTTGAACTATATTAAAAGTAATTCTATGACTGTGTCTTCTTAACCACTCTCTGTTTAAATATTTGCCCAAAGGGAATCACTCAGTTTCAGGAGTGTTTCATGGGGTTTTTTTGTGCATCTATACACAAGTATAAACAAATTCAATATACCTGTGAGCATCTGAAATGAGAAGCAAATATCAAATCCTTTATCCCTTTACAAAACCACCAGAATTGTTAAAAGGCAAGGTGATAGTAAATTCTTGTGGTGTAATTCCCCGCATTTTTCCAGGTTCCATTTACAGGGGGTGGTTGCTTCTTTTTGCTTTTGTCAATGACATGGTACCATTACAAAATATCTTTAATTTTTAATACGTAGTAGATGATATTCCCCACTAAAATACTAAAAACTTTCAGTTAAGATAATAAAAAATGGAAAATTAATCCAGTGTGCTTATTTGGGATGTTCCTGTACAAATTACTTCTGTTTTCATTCAGAGCCCACTAGTTATGAGTTGCATTGTGATCCCAGACTTGCAAATACAAACACTATTTCATTCTGTCACTGTATATATACCTCATTGCCCATACAAAACCACTTTATATGTGTATATGTAGACACATAGCAGTGTACAGTATAATAATGAATCTCAGCCAAAATCGTGTTTTGGTTAATAAGACTGACCTGTTTGCTTTGTCCTGCAAAAAGTCAATAGCTGAAGCAAAAGCTCATGAAATGTTAAAAAAAAATTAGGAACAACAATCATATATACTGGTACTTTAAGTGAGCACAATACTGGTCTGATCCAGGGTTTTCCCAAAATCAGAGGACTGCTTCTCAAATTGCAAATAACTACATCCCTGACAAAACTGTCTCAATCGTTTCCAAAGCTTGAAGAGGAGGGAACCAAAGCAACTTCCTAAACAACCTCCGGTGGGAGCAGAGAATTTGCATTTCGGAAGAAAAACTGAAGAAAATGTTTGTAGCTATATTGATACTCAGTGAAAAAAACATGTCCTTGAATCAGAGAAATGGAAAATAAATCACCCAAACTTGAGATTATTATTTTTTGTTTGTTACCAAGCAACGAGTCTCTGAGTGTAAAAGGGATAGCCTATATAGAATGAACATAAAATACTCTCAAATATAGCAAACAAACTAGGTTAATGGGATGTGGTATGTTTATAGTTATGATTTCCCCAACCTTTTGACAAAAATCATCACATAGATTCGTATCACGTACCTGAAGTGGTTTGTCTCTAAGAAAAATGCAAACAAGGTTGTCAAAATTTTCACTAGCTGCCGGTTCATTCCTCCTGCTTTCTGTGATGATTTGGAAAATATCCCAGAAACGATTCCAGAGAGATGCAGGGAAAAAGTAAGCTGGTGCTGCCTAGATTCCCAAATTCAGCAATAATTTAATTTTCTTGACAATCAGGAAGAGAAGGTCTGGATCTCTACAAACTGGGGGTAAAAAAGAAGTGCCAGTCCTTGGAATCATGGTCAGGTCAAGCCTAGGCTCATCTCCAGCAGCCAGCACAAAAGAGACAAAGCCTCAGACCTGGTCGTTCCCCCGCCTCGCTTTTGGGGGGGGGGGGGGGGGGGGAGAAAAAGAAAGAAAGAAAAAAAGGAAAGGAACAGAAGAGGAAACCCAACTACCCGAGGAGCATCACGCAAAAGGGAATAGCGCGGAGAGCAGTTCTGCTGCCGGTATGTTTTATTCCCCTTTCGCTTTGAAAATTAGTATTTATGAACGGTGGCGGGGCTACTGGGTCGGTCTGCTTTTCCCCTCTTTGGGCAGGGAGGCGTCGGCGCTGCCGGGGAGGGAGGGAGGGAGGGATGGAGGGAGGGAGGGAGAGAAATGTTTGCAGCACGTTGCACCAAGCAGAAGCACCTGGGGGCGCGGACCTCCAAGAATCAA